GTGGTACAATGGAAAGAATTCTGGCATCAGTGAAGCACCTGAGTTCAAATCTCACCTCTGACACTGACACCCTATTTGATTTCCCCTCTCTGGACCTCAGTTTCCTCATCTGTAAAATGAAGAGATAGGACCAGATGGTGTCTGAGGTCCCTTCACATTCTACAGCTGTGATTCTATGAGTCTTAATTTACCCTCCAAAGGAGGAAGGAGGAAGGAGAAAGGAGGGAGAGAATTCAGAGCTGACAATAAAAATAATATTGATTTTCAAAAATGAATCCACCATTTTATGAAACTCATGGTACTAATAAAAACAAGCGCCCACCAAACAATCCAGTAACACCTTGGGCAGGTCACTTCCCTCTCTGGGCTTGGTTTTCCTTAGCCGTAGAGCCAGGGGATCAGATTGAAGCAAAAGACAGGATTTGTGTGTGTGTCACGGACCCCTCCGGCCAACTGGTGAAGCCCACGGGCCCCTAATGGGAGTCCTATCTTTAAATGCACAAAATGAAACACATAGGATCCCAAAGGAAATCAGTTACATTGAAATAGTTATCAAAATATTTTTAATAGTGTAGGGAGCCCAGGCTAAGGACCCCGGGTTCAATGACTCTAAAGTTCACCAGAAAGAGTGCTGGAGTTTGGGTTCAAATCCGAGCTCTGCCACTTACACCCCTGTGATATGGGTCTAGCCATCCCCTCTCTGAACCTCAGCTCCCTCCTCTCTAAAAGGAGGAGGAGCCGAGATGGCCCCGATGAAGCCTTTCTTCTCCAGATCCTACCATCCCAGGGCATATCCTGTGAATCCCCTCTCCTAGTACATCACACATAGGCCAGCAGCTCATTACCAATGCAACCCAATCGAGACTCCCTACAATCTATTTTTCATTTAATTATATAAATTCCACAGAGGCTGATGTGTTGTTCCCCCCCACCCTGACCCCCAAGGTCTCTGCAAAGCAAATTTTGAGGCACGGTAATCTGCCCGCTAGGCTGAGAGGCTCCAGACAAGGGACATCTGCTCCCCGATGCTTCTTTGGCAGACCACAGGTCAGGGAGATCAAGTAGGGGTGGGGTCATGGCCTTCTGGAACCCATTGAGGGGAGTTTGAGGCATTCACAAGCACTGTGCCAATGAGTACTTTCTGCCTGATGCGAGTTACTCATTGTTCTTCTGTGGATGATTTCACTCAGTTAAAGCCCACAAAGGCATCACAAAAATGTCAACAGGCCTAGGGGAAGGAAAGGAAATGACTGGTGAGGCAACAAATGTGAGACATAGAACATGGAGGAGGCTCTCCTTCCCTTTAAAGGGCAACGTGCATAGAGAGAGAATGCTGTTGGCTCAGGAGAAGCAAGAGAAGGGGAATGAGTAGAATCCTGCTACGACATGATCCATCTACAAAGAGCACAGACTGCAGACAGGATGTTTTCCTCCTTTAAAAGTTACTTTCTTTCATGGGTCAGCTATGAAGATTTAAGAGTTAGAAGACCCAGGTTCAAATCTCAGCTCCCCTTTTAATAGCTGTGTGACCTTGGACAGATTATTTCTCTTAGCCTCAGCTTCTTCATCTGTAAAATGGGGATAATAATAGTAACTCCTTCATGGAGAGGTTGGAAGAGTCAAAAGAGATTGTATAAAGTAGTGTAACTGTGAATAATTCCTATTAAAGACAGCGTGGGCCTTGGTTGCCTCATTTCATGAAACTCTGACCCTGGCCTCATCATCACCTGAGCCAGTCAACCCTCATCAGTCTCAGTAACAAACAGAGCGATGGAGGAGGGAGCCCTGGTTTCAGCTGACTCAGCCAAGGAATAAGCTGTCTCATCCATCAGGAAAGGGTAAGCCAAAAACTGAGTGTGACTGAGTGCGTGCCTTCCACAAGGTAGGGAGTGAGGGTAACATTCATGAGCATTCCCCAAACCGGTGTCCGTCGCTCCTGAGCATTATTCCTAGATGACATCGGGAGTGCTGGGGGACTGGAAGCCAACCAGCTCGTTCACATCCTCCCCCATCTTTCTGGGTGCCATTTGGAACCCAGAAGTTGTTTTGAAAGACAATTCCTGGCCAGCCTGGATTTAATATGCTGTTCATTTATACCGAACAGCCTATGAAAAGAGATAATACAATGATGGCCCCAGTAACAGGCCAGATAACACAGAGCTAAGAATTTGTTAGTTTCGAGTACAGACAATATCCTCATGGGGGCAGAGGGAGGCCCCCAAGCCCCGATTCTTAGGACTTAGAAGAATATGGAAAGTGTTAGCTGTGGAAAAATTGATCTCCACCAGATGAGACAAAGAACGTTATTATAGAATCTGGTTGCCATCTTATGCTTTTTGCATAAATTCCACACTGTTTGGAGCATTTGAATTTTTTTTAAAAGCATCATTCACTTCTAACTTGGGTTTGGGGGCATCTTGGAGCCCCAAGAAGAGATTTTTGCATACATCTTTTGAATATGTCACTCTGCAGAGTAGCACCATATTACTGGGGTTTTCCTGGGTTTTCTAAGGAATGGCTGCCCCCAGCTGAGGCCAAGTGCTTGGGACTTATATGAACATCAGCTTCACAGCCCAGGAAGCCAGCTATGTTTTATTAAGAATATTGTACTTGTCTTAAGTTCCTACTGTGTGTTAAGTGCAATGGAAAACTACTAGACTTCCTGGGTTAGTGTGCCAGCAAATTACATTCTGAAGTAGCTGGCTGCATCCACATGCTGTGTGTGTATGCAGAGCTTATGTGATCACCATACCAAACCCTTGTAGCATAGAGGGAAATGAGACCTGAGCTTGGATCCTAAGAGCATAGATTTAGAGTAGGAAGGGACCTTACAGATGAATGAATGAATGAATGAATGAATGAATGAATGAGGAAAATTACATTTATTTTAACAATAATAAAAATAATAAATTTCACTTGCTATGTTCCAGGCACTAGGACTACAAACAGAAAAATAACACAACATTTAAAGAAGTATTGCAGGTTGGATGGAAAGGCCTCGAAGGTCCTTAGGGTGAAATATCAGGGAAGGCAGCCATAGACTCAGACAGGGAAACTGAGGCCCAGAGAGGCAAGGCTACTTACTCAAGGTCACGGAGGTAGGATTTGACCCATCTCCACTCTCATAGGGGAGCTTTGACCATATCTAGCCTAGAACCAGCTCTCCTTCTCCCTCATGAGCCCCCAAACTTTTCATGTCTCTTTTATCTTCCCTTGCCTGTCTTGGTCATTCATATCTGTTTCTATAGCCTGGCACAGTGCCTTGAACATTTTATGCATTTAAATGTTCTATCTATCAGGGCCTCTGCTTGGCCCCAAAGAGCAGAACTAAGGCGAATAGGTGGAAATTAGAGTGAGGGAGAGTTTAGTTCAACATAAGAAAAAGCTTCCTGCCAACAGGTGCTGTCCAGAATTGAAATCACCCGCCTTGGGGATGGGACTACTTAGCTCCCCATCACTGAATCCCCATCATTGCATGTTCTCGACATCACTGATAGTTCTCCATCATGGCTCACATCATTCAAGGGAAGACGTACTTTATCAGGAATTCCGTAGCTAGGATTAGTCATTTGGTTTGGGATTGGCTCAGAGAATCTCTGAGACCTGTTCCAACTCCAAGAGCCTGGATTTTGTGAGAGAAGGTAGTGACTGGCCTGGAGGCTGCGATGAACAAGGCCGGAGACGGCCGTTCCAGTCACCTATGGAATCAATCGCTCCGTCCTCCAGCCTCCTATGGCATAGTACACTCTGTCCTGCTCATGTACAACTCAGAATGTGGCAGGAGGACCTGATGGGGGTAGAGAATGATATAGGCATTTAGGATTTGCTAGTGATACTTTTAAAAAAAGGAAGAAAAGAAAGAAAACATTCATGAAACATTTAAAATGCACAGAGGAGAGCAGAAAGATGCTCAGAAGAGGACAGAGAAGCAAGCCTGTGTTGGAACTGCCATCTTAAATTCAAAATATACTTTAAAAAGAAGTGGTAACAGTTTCACATACAATCCCCTTTCTCTATTCTTTTTTTTGTATAAGAAAATGTTCTCTTTTTTGTCAAGTTCATAATGATGAAAAAGATTAAAAAATTGAGTGTGGGGAAGATAGCCAGTCCCTCTCCTTGTTCTCATCAATGTCATTGGTTGACTGAACCATCAATCAGCATTAGACCAGGCAGAGATGCTTTAACTTAGTTATTAGACCAAGGCTGGCTGGCGTGATGTCTTATCTACAGCTAGCTAGCCAGTGACAGGGGATGCAGGAAAGGAGAAGAATGATGGATTTGTCCTCTGCTCCTTCCCCTTCCCCCATGCTGCCTCAATAAAAGAAGGGGGTCACAGGCAGCTGCCTGAGGGCACAGTGGGTGAACTGTTCCACGAATGGAGGACGCTCCTAGATCCTCAGTCTGCTTTTGAGTATTTCTCTAATCACCACATAGGTAACAAGCAGATTGAAGATGGGCTAGGAAGATTGATAGCTGGTTCCTGCAGCTCCTCAAACATCCCCATTCCCAAACCCCCCAGGAACTGAGTCTGAGTCTGAGCTCAGATTCTGAGGCTAATGTTAAAAAAAAGAAGCAACAGAATTTGGTCATAATTTGAAGAAAAGGAAAGGGATAGGGACTAGATCTTTGATTTCAATGGTGTAGGGAACTCCCATGCAAGGAAACTCCCTTCACTAATACAGGTCAGTACCCTCTTTGAAATTTATGGTCTTACAGTGATGACTAGAACACTGGGAAGTTAAGAGGCTTGCCCAGGGTTTTATAACCAGTACGTGTCAGAGAGAGGACTTGAACCGAGGTCTTCCTGGCTTCAAAGCTGGCTCTCTACGCACTACCCCACACAAATGACACTCCATCTGCCATCCCGTCACTTTGGTCTTCCAAGTGCTCCTTAGTCTAACAGTCCAAGCAGAGAAACCCAAGTGGATGGAGAAGACTGCCCAGATTATGTTGCACAGTTGGAAGGATGGCCCATTGAATTAGCCCTCAGGGTTGAATACCTTGGGTTGACACAGCCAATGGAAGATGAGCCAGGCCCAGAATTCGAAGGAACAAGAAAGTCAGTGGGAATGCATTTGGAAAACTGAGCAGCGTTTTCAGTGATACCAACCGGCTCCTTGCAACACGAGCCTGTCCTTTTAACAGTTCTCTCCCAGGGATGAGTCCAGCCAAGAATCAGTAGGACATGAGATGAGAAGGATCATAACTGCAAAGAGTCCAGAGAACAATGGAAGGCCTCATGGTAGGTTACAGCATAGATATGCTGCAGCATATCTGCCATCTACCTGTGTGACCTTGGGCAAATCACATAATCACCCTGTGCCTCAGTTTCCTTTTCTGTAAAATGAGATGATTGGACCAGATGACCCCTGAAGTCCTTTCCAACTCTAAATCTGTGGTCTCATGATATTAGGCACTGGCTAGTCTTGAGAACTTCACAGGACATGCATGACCAAAAAGGGAGGTGGCCTGGACGTGAAGGGAGAGCAAGGGATGACGGACAGCCACCCCGGGGCCTGCAATGGTATCTGCGGACAACTAAAAAAACCAGACAAAGCACTCGGGTGTGGATTCTCACTACCCCTCTCTGGGCTTCAGTCTCTTGATCTGCAAAGTGAAAGGGGTTTGGGTTATATGACCTCACTTCCAGCTCTAAGTCTGATGATCTGTCTCTAGGCGGGGGAAGGGAGTTTGGAAGAACATGATCAATAACCTAGCAATAGGAGAAGGTAGCATTGGGAGGTGATCTACACAGACAGAGAGTCTATCCCGTGAAGGAGATTTGCATGCTGTGCCTGGTGCATAAAAGGCACTCAATAAATACATGTTGGTTGATGGAAGCGACTATTCCTCCAAGCTAAATTTTGTGTCCCTAGGCAAATGGCAGACTCCTTAATGGCATGGGTCACATCTTTTATTTCTCTTGGTTCTCCCTGTGTGTTTAGATCATCGCTGGCACACAGCTGGTGCCTAATAAAGACTTGCTGGCCGACTACAGTGCTTTTTCTAATAGTTTTAACAAATAACAATTATGTCCCAGTGATTTCCTAAAGCACAGGTCCAACCATATCATCCTCCCACTTGATAAACTCCTATTACGTTCAGAATCAAATATAAAATGCTCTGTTTGGCTTTCAGAGCCCTTCACCTCCCAGCCCCCTCCTACCTTTCCAGTCTTCTTATATACCTTCTTCCCCAACAGATCCTCTTTGATCCAGGGGCACCAGCCTCCTCTTTGTTGCACAAACAAGTCACTCTGTCTCTCGGCTCCCGGCACTCTCTCTGGCTATCCTCCATCTGCTCTCCCTCCTCACCTCTACCTACTGGCTTCCCAGGCTAAATGGGGGCAGCTAGGTGGCATAGTGGATAAAGCACCTGCCCTGGAGTCACAAGGACCTGAGTTCAAATGCAGCCTCAGATGCTTGACACTTAATAGCTGTGTGACCCTGGGCAAGTCACTCAAGCCCATTGCCCAGCCCAAAAAAAAATTCCAGCTAAAATCCCATCCTTTATAGGAAGTCTTTCCCAAACTCTCTTAATTCTAGTGCCTTCCCTCTGCTAATTATTTCCTATTTATCTTGCATATAGCTTGCACTGTATATATTTGTTTGCTTGTTGTCTCTTCCATTAGATTGTCAACTCCTGGAGGCCTCTTTTTGTATCCCCAGTGCTTTGCTCAGTGCCGGGCACATAGTGGACATTTGATAAATGTTTATTGACTGACGCTGATCCAATGGAAGACTTACTCCCAAGAATATTACTGATCAATCAACAAGCATTTATTAAGCATTGGGTAGTGGATATAAAGATGGCCTTGGAACTAGGAAGACATGGATTCAAGTCTCACTTCCTTCACATCCTGATTGTGTGACTCTGGGCAAGCCACATGGGGAACTCTCTAAGATGGTAAGTTGCCAAGGAAGTGCTGACCTGCATTGGGAAGAGGAGTTTTCTCCTCCAGGAGATTCATATATCAATGAAGTGCTAAGCTAAGTCCCCTGCCTTCCCCCAGCCCAAGTAAGGAGACAAAAATACAAAGAATGGAATAAGACCTATTCAGGCTAGGCACATTCAGTGTTAACACTAGGAGCTACTCTGGGAATTCAATTCAATTCATTTATGAAGCACCTACTGTGTGCCAGAACTCAGTTCTATGCTAGGTGCCAAGGAGACAAAGACAGTGCCTGTCCTCAAGAAGCTTACATTCTATTGTCAGAAACCACATGAATGCACAGATAAAACATTTCTATAGAGTATAATGGGCAAGGTAAATCAATTCCAAAGATATTTTATGAAGCACCTAGGCTGCTGGTGGTATAATAGTACACTGCTGGGCCTAGAGTCAGGAAAACTTGAATTCAAATCCAGCCTCAGATACTTACTAGGTGTGAGACCTTGGGAAAGTCACTTAACTTTTGTTTGCCTCAGTTTCCTCAGCTGTAAAATGAGGATAACAATACTATCTATCTCCCAGGGTTGCTGTGAACATCATTTGAGATATTTGTAAAATGTACGGTACCTGACACATAGCATACCTGACACATATAAATGTTTATTCCCTTTTTTCTCCCTGCCCCACCCCAGGTATTGTTTGAAATGCTACAGACATGAAGGGAAAAAAAAAACCCTGTTCTCCAAGAGTTTACAGTCTGTTGGAGGTTGGAGAGAGTTCATGAATACAACACATACAAAAATAAATCAATACATAGTATAGACAAAGAAGCACAGAACATCAAGAGCTGAATCAGTCAACCGTCACTTAACAAGCCTTTATTAAGCACCTACTATGTTCCAGGCACTATGCTAAGTACCAAATGGAAAAGGACCTCAATGATCTTGTTGTCCAACCTCTACCTAAACAAGAATCCTCTCTCCATCACCCAGACTCTGTTTGCTTGGCTTTCTTAGAATGACTCCAGCAGAGAAAGAAAATTATGGGCAGGAAAAGAAAGGACTTCAGGAGGATAACAATAAGATCTCATTTGTCTCCACACTTAGAACTGAAAACAAGGAAGGCTGGGAGGGTAGGCCAGCAAAGGCCAGGAGGCCTGAAAGATAGAGGCAAAAGAGGCCAGGAATAGCTCTGCTCCGCCTCTGAGCAGGCAACAGCAACCCATCTGGCTGGAGAGGACAGCAGGCAAGGGGAGGCCATCATTTGTTGGCAAAGTCAGTGAATACAGATTCCTTTCACTAGAGCCACTTGAACGGAGGCCTCCTTGGAGACAGGAAGCAAAAGATTCTCTGCCAATTCATTTCAAGTGAGTGAAGATGGGGAGTGGGGGAGGGCTCAGAAAAATATGAACTGGGTAGAAGCCATACTATCCAGGAGATGCAAGGACAGGAGAGCTTTGGTGCATGTCCCTGAATGGGTGAGGTCCTAAAGAGGACCTAGGATCAGACATGGAGAGTTTAACCTTTGTTGTGCTATGGATCCCTTTGGTGGCATGCTGGTAAAGTCTATGGAATGCTCCTCAAAATCATGTTTTCAAAGGCATCAAATAAAATCCCTAAGATTGCAAAGGAAATTGATTGTATTGAAATACAGTTACCAGAAGATTTTTTAAATCAAGCTTATGCGCCCTAGTTAAAAATTCCTGATCTAGATCAAGAAGAGACTTTAGCAATTATCTAGTTGAACCCTCTCCCAGTACCCCTACTCTACAGGTAAGGAAATGGAAGAGTGCAGAGGTTGAGTTACTGGTTTAAGGACACAAAGAAAGGGGATGACAGAGGGGGGACTCAAATCTGGGCCATTAGACTCCAAATTCATCATCATCATCACGATTCACATCCTATAAGACTTTTGCCATAGCTTTTGCAAAGCATTTTATATGCCTTAACTCTCATTTTTTCCTCACAATACCCCAGTGAGGTTAAGAACTATTCTTATCCCCATTTTACAGATAAGGAAACTGACTTGCCCAGTGTCACACCACAGGATTTGAATCTGGCCTTCCTGCCTCCAGTGCACACACACTGTCCCACTACACCACATCTCCTCAACGTGCCACGACATGATCAAGTGTTCTTAAATAGGGAGTCCACCTGTAGACCATATAGTAAATGCTTAGTAAATGTGTGTTGATCGGCTGACCAGAGGCCACCAATGCAGGGCACTGGCATTCAAGGCCAAAAGATTTTTCAAAAAGAGAGAAGAGACAGAGAGACAGAGACAGAGAGGGACACAGGCAGAGAGATAGAGATGGAGACAGAGACAGAGAGACAGAGAGAGACAGAGAGAGAGACAGAGAGAGAGAGAGAGAGACAGAGAGAGAGAGAGAGAGAGAGAGAGAGAGAGAGAGAGAGAGATGTACTTGTTACACCTGATAATTGAAGGGGAAAAATCCTTCGTATTAGTTGTAACAATACTAATGCAGCCTGAATACTTGCAGACTTTTTTTTCATTTTCAAACAGATCTGCTCTGACCCTGGCCACAAGAAGCAGCCGGCTCAGCATATTCATGGTCTGGGCACATTTTCTTCATCCACCTCCTTTCCAGTGTGCTCTTAAACCTTCCATCTGGCCCTGGGAGCCCTACATCCACTGATGTGTATGTGTGTTTGAATTATCTAATCTCTGCAGATGTGGCTGCAGTGGCGGTGACTAAATAGCTTTGAAATGTGATTCGATCACTCCATGGAATAGCCTGGGTAAACACACGACTTGAGTTCCTGACTCCAACCCCAGCCCAGGGACGAGCTGGGCACACACACCAGCCCTGGGCGTTCCGACCAACATGTGGAACTGCAGCAGAAACTGAGTTTATTTTTAATGGCAAACTTTTTTTCATTCTATGTCACAGATGCCACTTAAGACGGCTATGACAGATCGTTACAATATAATTAAAGGCATCCATAATTGCTACCTACCCATTTGGAGGAAAACAAAGTTACCTTCTGGAAAATAAAGATGTCAACTCCAGCTCCATCATGGAGTCAGTTATGAAACTAGGGTTGGGGAGAGGGTATTGGGTGCAGAGAGAGATATACTAGGGACTTGGGAGGGCGCTCCTTCATTCAATCTACAAGCAGTGTAAACACTTCTTGTGCGCCAAGCACTGAATACAAAGAAAGAGGAGAACAGTGCCTGCCTTCAAGAAGCTTTCTGGTTCAACTCCCTCATTTTACAGATGAAGAAACTCAGGGTGAAGTGACTTGCCCAAGGTCACATGACTAGTAAGTATCTGAGGACAGATTTGAACTCTGGTCCTTCTGACTCCAAGCCTAGCTCTCTATCCTTTATACCACCTGGCTGCTCCCTGTCCATTAAGCCATGAATCA